AGGGGGCACTTACCCATGTTTAGGTATAAGGTGCCATTTGGTTGTGGAAACCCTGAAACACCCATTGTTTCTTCCTGTCATCAGGATGTACTGAAAGTAATTCTGTCAACATGCAGTTGTGTTATAATGCTGACAGGGCAACTTAAAGGTACTGATAACAATATTGTTCTGAAAAATTATTTAATGCCTTCTAAATAAATACAGATAAACATCATACTCAATGAGTCTTGCAGCGGTACCCTGTCAGACCCTAATTAGGACAGCCGCACTTGAAATTATATACCTCGTGCAGGGTGGAGGGATTAAAAACCTTACCCTATCCAGTGGTGCATAATGATGTAGCCCATATAGGAGAGGAAACTCTCCCCCCCCCCATGAAGAATTTATTGCAGCCTAAATTACTGAGTGTACTAAGCTAAGCAAAAATAAGGAGATCATTGTGGAGTAAGTCAATTCAAATTTATTTGTAAAATTCTATTAGAAATAATTAGACAATAATGATTACATCTCAGTTCCTTTCTTCTGCTGATGTATATCAAGTTGCACTGTGGGACCCATATTTAGATCTGATATTGTGGTAGACACATGCTGGCAATGGCCTACTATTCTCCCAGTCCAAGTAGCTAAAGATCCATCGAACCAGCCACCTGTAGGCTGTAGCTCTAAGAAATCTGTGATAAAGGTTTGAAGACATAATTTATTGTGAGAAAATCAACATGATTTGTCTTGCAGATAGACAAAAACTATCCAGGACAGTCTTGAATACGGAGGCCGACAAAAAATTATTTACCAATTGTAAATCTTGCTGTTATGTAAACAAATTGTACTTACTCGTTTTCTGAGGTGCCATTCCTGGGGCGGTACGTTTTCCCATTTCTGTCCCGAAGTAACCGTGCCACCTGTCTCCGGACTATGTGATGCACGATATCCGTTCAATACTTCAATCAAATGTAAGTTTTCCACGTGCACAGTCCACTTCCATGCAGCACCTAAACTCGCGAGCTGATACCAGCATAGCATCAATGCACTGGGTAAAGGAACACCTGATGAAAAATAAAACCATGGTGAGCTTATTTCGTTCTCAAGTAGAAAAAAATAAAAGCTAATTTTGCGAGTGCAATTGAAAGGCCGGATGCAAGAGAATTCCTAAGTTTGGTTGTAATTTCACCTTCATGTTTCGTTTTAGCTTTAGCGTACACAAACGGGGTACATTATAACAAGGTAAGACACACTTATTGAATAAGAATAGCGTCTATTGTGTTAGGCCTTATTCTTCAAAGCCTCCTGACATATGTAAATGATGTGGACGGGTATTCTGAAGTTGCTCCTTACGACGTACTGGCAGGTTCCGTTTTCTCAAATCTTCGCGATAAAGTGGCAGAAGATAAGCCATCTTCATCCTCGTCATTCCTCTTCTTGTCCGTTGCTGTCACTCTCATCGGAGTTCGCCAAAG